CACGAGAAGACTTGAAATTTATGTACCTGATGGGTTGAACCGCCTCAGCACTTTGAACTTTAAAACGGTGCTGGCTTCTGGATAAGGATAGCTTCTGTGCTCTTAGGGTTGGCCTGCCCCAGCCTTGCAATGACCTTGCCCCTGACTGACTGATTTAGGGAACAATACCTCTAACCACTTCGAGAGATTTATCAAATCTCGACCTGATTGCCCCAAATTAACTGACTTTCGGATGGCTGACTCCCATGATATGATCATTTGATATAGCTTTCCCCGGTTCAACGGAGTGGGCGCTCTGCATTCTATCCTGATAAAACTTCACACTGTGGAAACTTTCCTGATGTCAAGTGCTGACTCGCAAGTAAATAGATTGTTCTGCATAAACGATATATTCATGCAATGCATATGACTATTTTGAAATCCAAGTTTGTTCACTGGAAAAAACAAATTGTGACATATAGTGAATGAATCACTGATCAGAATGTCAACCTTAAAACCAATATGGCAAGAGGAATCCTTTTAGGAGTCAGTTTCGACGTGATCTTTACTGAAGTATGTTTTCGAAACCACCATGCTTCAATTAGGACTTTTGAAGGTTATAACATGGCCAGGTTCACAGTTAAGAAAGAAAGGGGTATAAAGCTCAAAGCTTATTCTAACCCACCCATTCTCTTTGATGTTCTCCAATCCTACACTCAACTAATTCAACACAGGCGCTCACCTTTCAAAGGTTGAATGACAAGAGTGATGGTTTGGGAAACCACAAGTTCTTGGAGTGACAGTCACTCGCTTTTCGTCTTTTGGTGCCTGGAGTCACACGACTTGTTTGTTCGAGGATTTTTATTTTGTAATCCTTTTCGTTTTTCTGCTTTTGATTTTCCTTAACTTTTGCCAGGACTGGCTCTTTTGAGCTTCCTTTTGATTTCAAAGTCCAGCGGGATGCCCTAATTTTTGCCTAAGTCGCTTGCTTTCAAGATTCGACTCAGCAGGCTTCTTCTTTTGATTCTTTTTTTTTTGAACAAATCACGTGACACCGGCTTGTCTGACTTTATTAAAGAGATTGTGACTGTTTCACTCCTTGGTCAGCGATGGATACCCATTGTGGGTTTTTTTAGGCACGACCTGTACAGGTGTGATTGATCCTTGAACGGGAACACTCCTTTCGCAATTTGGAAGCTCGGTCAAATTAGCTGACACCTACCCTACCCTGGGTTAAGATTGAGGGTTTTTTCAGAAAGAAACTCCTACTACTAGGCTCAAAGGGGTTGACAAGGGATTATCATCCTTATATCTCCGGTTTTTAGGAATTTGAAAAAATGCTTGTACATCATCAGCAGGTTTTATTCAAAAGCATACAATCGGAAGCTTGCACATCTTGCAATTTCATCATCCTCCCCGGATTCCGCTTAAACAAGCGTTAGACATCAATTAAAAACATAAGTGAACACAAATGGATTTAATAAAAAAACATGCATATTCATTTCATTATCAATATCAATCGAAAACAATCAAGTTTTACAAATAAGCTTGCACTTCAACAGAAAAGAAACTACAAATGCAAAGAAATGACATGATAAAACAAAGGTTGCCAGCTTCGAGAAACCGGGCTTTCAGATCTTGACTTGCGGCGGGATCAACCATCTTCAAACTCAATCAGATGAGAGGTCGACGTGCACAACCAAGTTTCCTTTGGGAAAGGAAATGTACTCTTTGTCAATCAACTGCTGCACTTTGGCTTGAAAGGCTTTGCAGTCGTCAGTTGAGTGTCCCATGGATCCTCCATGATATCTGCATTGAACACTGGGATCATATCCGGGAGGGTATGGCTCTGGCACCTGCATGAGATCCTTGGGCTCCACCAATGAGTTCTGAATCAAATGGTGCAGAATCTCACTGTATGGTACAGGGACTGGATGAATAGGAGCATTCCTCCTTTCCAAGTTGTTGCGGGGCCCATTCTGATTCTGGCGCTGATGGTTTTGCTGTCGAGGAGCACGAGGTTGTTGGTACTGGGATGACTGTTGAGCAACAGTTGGAGCAGACACAACATTAGTTTCTCCTCCTTTCCCAACATAAGGCTTCTTTGTATCTTTAGAAGAATCAGGAGCAACTTGGATCTTGCCTAGTTTGATACCGCTTTTGACTCTTTCTCCTGCTATCACCAGATCTGAAAAACTTGCAGACATGCAACCTATCAGCTTCTCATAATACACTCCGGGAAGTGTAGCCATGAAAATGTCAGTCAGCTCTCTCTCCATCATTGGAGGTTGTACTCTCGCTGCTAAGTCTCGCCATCTCTGGGCGTACTCCTTGAAGCTCTCAATACTCTTCTGCGACAGACTCTGGAATTGTATCCTGTTCGGTGCCAGATTACTATTATACTGATAGTGACGCTCGAAAGCTTTGGCTAATTCTCTCCAGCTGCGGATATGAGTTCTCTCAAGCCCCATATACCATTCCAAAGACGCTTCTGCCAGGCTATCTTGGAAGCAATGCATCAACAACTTTTCATCTTCGAAGTAAGCAGACATCTTTCGAAAGTAGGCTCGAATGTGTACTCTAGGACAGGTTGTCCCTTTGTACTTTTCGAAATCTGGTACCTTGAACTTGGGAGAAATCCTGACCCCAGGAACTAGACCAAGATCTAACATATCAAGGCCAAAGAGTTCTGATTCTCAAAAGACTTCATCTTTTCCTCAATCAGTTTAAACCTTCGGTCAGCTTCAGTTGGCAAGCCACCTTCCATATCCTTCATGGAAAAGATATCACTCTGGTGATCTTCCCACTGAGGGACAGCAACCCGGTGCACAACGCCCATACTTCCACCAGCAACACTACCATTTCCATTCGCAGCACCTCCGCCCAGAGGTATGACAACAGTAGGAATACCCTGTGGAACATATCCACCAACTAGAGGGAAGACACCAGCTCCAACTCCATTGTTATTGGCTTGGGGAGCGTCAATGAGAGGTTGAACTAGAGTTCTCAGATGTTCCTTCCCACTGGCAACATTCTGCATCAACTCCATGAACTGGGACATGCGAGCTCTGAATTCCTGCAATTCGGCTTGAACCTGATCCATTGCTTTTAGCTGATTCCCTCGAGTTGAATATTTGTGGAAACTGAACTGCTCAATCTTGAACTAACGAAAACCAAGCATAGTTAGGAACAGAAGGCCATCGAGAACACCTGCTATGCAAATGAGAGTGCAAGATCCAAATGCATACATGTCTATGTATTCACAGGGAGATCTCCCCCTTGATTCCAGTTTCAATAAACAAGAAAAGCATGGATGGATACGAAGACCATAATAACCTTCTCCTATATCAGGTAAGATTCTTTTTGAAGATTTCAAAGACGTCAGGTTCATCCATGGAGATCAGGCCAAATAAAGGCCCTAACTCGGGTGTCAGAAACTTGTATACAACCCCCTCTCTTCAGAAAACCAGTACCATAATCAAAGGAGAGATGAGAACCTTTCCAACACATAGACATGCAATGTTACATGCAGGATGATTATGCAAATGCAAATGCAACAGGGGATCAAGATTATCGTGTTGTAGATCGAGAAGAACCAGCGCTCCACTTTAGCAAGAACATAGCATAGCTCTAATAATAGGTACCTCTGGTATCGGGAATACAGATTCACACTGCAAAGAAAACTGGATAATTCTGAAAGTCAAGGTTTCCTGCATAACCCAATCCTTCTCATAGGTATGGACCTATCCACTGATAAGGTTCGACATCCTATGCGTTCATCAGTTGTCATACCCCAAATTTGTCCTACTTCGGTATTTAATGGAGATTTGACTGTTTCACGACTTCTGGCTATGACTATCTGAGACTTCGTTCATAAAGACCATGTGTGTACACATTGTGGTTGTAATCCCCAGCAATTTATGATGAAGAACGTGCCCCCAGCTTTTATATCCAAATTCATATGTGTCCTCGTTATCACGATCAGATATATATGGACGATGGCATAAAATGCATGATTGTTGGTTTTCAAAAAATTTGAACCCTATTTCAACTGGATTACAAACTGCTCTAAAGGTCGTTTGAGCGTCATTACAAGTTGTTTGTTATGATATGCACCTAATCCAAGTCGTTCAAAGATATTTCACATGATGCTGCTAGATACGGTCGATTTAGCTTCAAGCCTTGCTTAAATTGATTACGAGTGTCAAGCTATGTTTGAATTTTAAATCAGTTTGTGAAAAACATAGATTTAATTTGTAAGTTTCGAGTCATACTTGAATTTGGATGCAATTAGCCTAGAAGATGTTTCGATTCATTTCAAAGGCTTATGGTATAATGCATCAGTTCATAACGATACAAGCTATGATAAAGGAAAGATGAACCCATATTCTTGCATTCAAAATTTGGTCAAGAGATTTCAGACATGGAAAGTTGCTTTAGATTACAAGGAGAAACATTTCTTTTGCGAAGCAAATGGGTTTATTACTAAATGACATGTCAAGACGGGGACCATTTTGCAAGATTTTTATTACATGTTGAGTTGACTTTCGAACCGTGTTCTGGAGTTTTTGTCAAATAATGAGAAGCCGTGTTTTGGGATTCACTATCAAGCAATACATGGATCTTTCTAAAAGTCATGACAGACGTGGAAGATACAACAGCAACGACTTACTTTTTCATTACCACATATGATCAAGGGGTTATAAAAAAGGAAAATCTATGATTCATTAAGGATTAAAGTTACAAAGGTCAGGTATTGAAATCCCAGTCAGCTCCAAATTTACTTCTAAACTATTATACTGTATTGATTAAGGAATTAGAAAGAAGGTTGACCAACCAAACTCTTATAAAATTAAAAGTGATTTTTGTTGCACCAATTACCGAGACTTACGCAAGATTTGTCAAGACACCTAATGAAGCATGAGGTTCCCTTCATAACTCATACAAGGAATGCAAGGAAAATTATCTTATACAGTGCAGAAGTTACAAATTTATGAAACAGTAGTGTGTGCATAAAAGTAATGGCAACAACAGAGACAGCTTCTGCTACGCTTGGTCCTCGATATGCACCGGACGATCCCACCCTTCCGAAACTGTGGTTGGGGTTGATTGATGGAGGTACTGGTACTTTTTACTATTGGAATCCTGAAACTAATGTTACTCAATATGATAAGCTCGGCGCCCCACCTGTGCCTGCTGCTTCTACGCCTGGTTTGGCACCTATACCGAGTGGGTCGGGGCAGCAACGGGTGATGCAAGTGCAGCCGCCCTCACAACAACAGCAGGGGAACCATTTTGCCCAACAGCAATAGAGTCCTCATGTGGCGTAGGCTACTCAGCAGCAGCCTTCTCAAGCTGCTCAACCTGTGCAGTAGCAGCCGACACAGCAGCCTGGGTTACACCAAGCTAGACCACAGATGATGCAGCCTCAAGGGCAGCAAATGATGCAGTTTCAAGGGCAGCAATTTCAGCAAATACATCATCAGATGCCTCCGCAGGTGATTCGTCCACAACAATTTGGGCAAGGGAATCCTCAGGATCATGGTACACATATTGTGCAACCGCAAGCACCTCAATTCACTCCTCAGAACATGCTTGTATGGTGGGGCACCTAAAGCTCTTCAGCTAAAAGAGTTAGATCGGGGGGGAAGACATTGTTGTTGCCACACCTGGTAGGCTCAATGATATACTTGATATGAAAAAAATTGACTTTAGGCAAGTTTCACTCCTTGTGCTTGATGAGGCAGACCGAATGCTTGATATGGGTTTTGAGCCTCAAATCCGTAAGATTGTGAATGAGATTCCACCACGTAGACAAACTCTCATGTTCACTGCAACCTGGCCTAAAGAAGTGAGAAAAATTGCTGGCGATCTTCTTGTTAATCCTGTTCAGGTTAACATTGGAAATGTAGTTGAGCTTGCTGCAAACAAATCTACCACACAGTATGTTGAAGTTGTCCCACAAATGGAGAACATGAGCCACTTTGACTTCTGCATAAATAAAAATGGTGTTCGGTTTGATCAAACCCTTCAATAAGCTCCAAATGTAACTTCGGCTATTTCCGCTGGGCTTCTCCGATGCACCTGGAAGCCAGGCATAATGGAGAATGTTATTTCTGTAATGTAATACAATAAAGATGTACATGATTTTTGTGCAGAACCAAGTCCACAAAAGAAGGACGATTCAGAACTTTGGTATAGTGATAACAAAAGGTTCATAAAGAGAGAAAGAAAGGCGTGGGATGACACTTACGTAAGACTCGTCACAAGAACTTGTTGAGAGCAGCCATTTCGTCACCAGAATTTTTCCTCGTCACATTGTAAGCTAGCTGAACGTATTTGGTGTGTCAGCAGAATCCTCGATCCACCAAGATTTGATTTGAGTTAGTGAAGCTACGAGATAATTACCGAAGAGAATTCCTGCCTTTCACTTTGACTAAAAAGAATAAATTCTGGGTGCTATTTTCATGTTGAAATCACCATGTGCCTTCCTTTCTTTTCCTCCTAGTTCTTCGAAAAGGCACGCTCTGAGTTCCAAATAATAGCTGACAAGATGAAGTAAAAGAAGGGTCAAGAACATATGAACATGAATTAGATGGCAGCTGTAGAGAAGAATAAATCAATCACCTGCCAAGACATATACAAGTCCTTTCCAATCAGAAAAAATGTAAGCATAAACTTCATCAAAGGATTTTGGGAAAGGCAAGGTACACAAAAAAAAAAACATAATATACAAGTTTGAAATATCATTTCAATGTGATCATGAAACAAATAAAAGCATCATAGGGAGTTTCAATGGAATAAGAACACAATACAAGGAATATTCCACACTGCAAATCCTACAAAGTTCTGAAGTCTTTCATGCTTCGACCCCAAATACGAGACTTGTGAGCAGATGTTAATCTCTCCTTCATGCCGAGTTCTATTCTTCTTCATTTTGAGTTCATCTTTCCCAAGCTCTTCATGAATGCAAGGTTTACGGCTCGAGTCTTTTGTATTCATTTCAAGTGTCATCATTCTCATGCCAAAAGTTCAAGATAAAATGGGAGTTAAGAGTAAATAATAGTAAAGGAATATCTTTTTACAGCAAGATAAATACAGGCGACGGGAGTATACAAGCAATACAGATTCATAGAGTTCAACAATAAAAACTCACACAATAGCAAAAGTATGAACAAACAAGTCGTGTATCAAATTCATAATGAGTGCCCATACATAAGTCCTTAAATACAGTGAAGCATGAAGCATCTTTCACAGTACAAAGATTGAGTTTTTTTTTCATACAAGGGACTTATAGATAGTTCATTTTCCTAAGCTTTGCTGAGATTACCAATTCTAAGCAACCGTGTGCGCATAAGTGGTGATAATATTCGCGAATGGAATTTGAAATACTACCTTCAAAGCTCCGAAACATGAATGATAGATGATTGTTTCACAAGTGTTGCCGTTACGAGGGTAGCATCCGGTTTTAGCCTGAAGGGGTATCATCACAACAAGTTCAACAGATTAATCACATACTTGAGACAGCATAGAAATACTACAGTAGAACCTGTGTGAAAGGATGAGATGCACATACACGCTGAAAAGGCCCCTCACTTCTTCCTCATTAATGTTCCCTCCAAGTTCCCAATAAACAATATGTCAAGAAATAAAGACGACTAGCTCGTAACTTGGGAGCTGCATACGCGTTCTGTGCGTTACAGGCTTTCCATGGACAGACGAGAAACGAGACTCCCTCATCTTCGTGGAATCTTCAATATTGTATGATCATGTAAACCTACAAAATAAATCAAGAGTGAGTAAGGTTTGGATCCTAAGCTACAAAGAAGATGCTAAGGTTACAAGCAAACCAACACAAATCTTAACGCCAGTATTTGAATAAGATACGAATGTTGTCATCAAGACCATTTTACCAAGAAACATAAAACAAGAAACATTTCAAGTCAACATAAAGACTTCCACATCAGCAATTTGACAAGCAGTGAAAAGCCATTTTTTTTGCACAGTAAAAAAACTCAGTAAAAACAGATATTTTAATGTTCACTACAGACAAAGAGGGGGTCATTGTCGTTCAAATCCCATAGGATCGGTGATAGTGGTGGTAGCGCATAACAAACTTGTACTACAAAAAACTGCACCTCATTGTCCTACCCAAAACCTCACACGATTCAAGCAATTTTTCATCAGCAGATTTTAAATTTTTCACACGTACCAAAACCCTAAAAATCCCCTATAAATATAACCCCAATCATTTTGCAAAGGACAGGAGAAAAACCCTAAGGAAACTCTGTCGAAATCAACCCCTGAACCCATACTAAAGCTCAAAATCTTGAAGAAAAAACTTCTTAGAGTCTCACACTGAAACTCTGAGGTGTTGAGTTCGGTCACCGATTACACTATCAGGGCGCGATATTTTTGAGGCGCAATAAAGAAAAAGAAAGGAGAAGACTTGAAGGAACCAAGCAATAAGTAGAGAAATTGGATTGTACCTGAAAACCTTGAAGCCTCTCAAACTTCGTATCGGTAACCTTCTTCTTCTCTTATTTTCGTTTTTCTCCATAATCACGCATGGCTAAGTTTAGAATGTTACGGCTTAGGAATTTAATCTGCATCGTGTTAAAGCACTTGATTAGGGTTAAAAGGGGATCTAAGGTTCATTCTGTTGAGTTTTTATTGATGTTGAAGAAGTGAAAAGTTGATAGCAGAAGAGAGGGAAAATATAGAACGAGGGAGAAATGGTGGATAAGATTTTGAGAGTTTCAACTGGGAGAGGGAGGTTCTTCGGCGTGAAAAGAGAAAGGGAGAGACTGGTCAAGGTGTTAATGAAATCTTTTTTTTCTTTTAACTCTTAAAGTCTTTATTGAATATTTAACCGTTGCATTCTCAATCATGGCCAGGCTTTAATTAAAATTGGTTGAATAGTCTAGTAAATGTTGAGTTGTTTTTGAAATTTGTTATTATTTATTATTTGTTTTCGGGAAGAACTCGAGGAGTTCACGACATTCATGGCAATAGGGGGTAGTAGGTCAAGGTGCATGGGGGAGTGTTTTCTGTCTGTTCTTTTTTATTTTAAGAGCTCACACGTTTTTTAGTCTTAGAGGCTATAGTTTTTTTTTCTTTTTTTAATATGTCTTGGTTAAATTAATCTTATATTAAGAATTAATTAAATTAGTAATTGTTTTTTGTTTGTTTCAACCCATGTTGTTAGAGCATAATATTTAATAGATAGTCTCTTTTAAAAAAAAATGATTTCTAAAAAATTAAATTAATTAAAAATTACTTATCCCATTGAATAATCTTAATTAATTAATTAATATGGTTAATTCTAAAAAAATGATACCATTATATTTAAAATTATGTTTTTTAAAATGAATTTAATGAAAGTGGTGGATCCTTGGAGTCTAGCACTCCTTGGGCCCTTAAGAGACCGCTCTCAAGGTGCACGCCTTGAGTTGTGATCTCTTCGTCCTTCATCATTAAAATACCCCTCAATATCGTTTAAACCTTTCAAAAAATCGCAAACCCTAATTCGAGCAATATGCTCACCTTAGCCTAACTCATCTATGTTATTAAATTCAAATTATTTCTCTAATTAAAATTACGAAAGAATCGAATTCTTGGATTCATGCATTCCTTGAATTCGAGAATGATTACTATTGAGGCGTGCGCCTTGTATAGTGCGTCATTCAAACTTTCGTTCCTAAAATACCTTATCTAATTATTTGGGTAAACATTCACTGTCCAACAAATACTATTTCATAATTAATGGGATGAAAAAGATTGTCGTTGGGATCTAGCATTCCAACGATATCCCGACTAATTGGTTGTGAGGCTGACGTCTTGCTTATCAAATAGTCGTCATTCCTCCTAATTTCTCAACCCGCATAACCTCATTTCTCGCCCTCGTGTGATTGAATCAAAATCTCTTTCAATTCAAACTCTTTCGCGTCTAAACTATCCATCAAACATATTTCGAATGAAAAAGGTATCGTTGGGATCGAGCATTCCAATGGTGTCCCGATTGATCTGGTTACGAGGCCGACGTCTCATTTATCGAGTAGTCGTCATTCCTCCTAATTTTTCAAACCACCTAATCTCGTTCCTCATCTTCGTGTGATCGAGTCTAAACCCTAGTATGTCTCTAAACCATACGTCAAATTCAAACCATTTTCTTAAAAATTGCGAAAGAATTGAGTTCTTGGAGTCTCGCGCTCCTTGAATCCTTGAGTAACCATTCTTGGGGCGTACGCTTTAGGTTGTGGATTACTCGACCTTTCGTCTATAAAATACATGCCCTAACTATTTGGACAAA